ACAAATAATACTTGTCACACAGCAAGCAGTGCATGCATGATAGTTATTTTTATTATTACACAGAGCTCATAAAGAATTAAGAATTTCAAAACATGTTAGCTATCATGACCATATACAATATTACTCTAATGTTTTTCAAAGAGGTTTAATGGTAAACAAAAAGAGAAGTTATTTTTTTCTCTTACAACAGGAAGACCAAAGCATACTATAGAGACAAATAGTACAGAAATAAAGCTCTGAAGACCTCAGTTTCTTTCTTTATAAAAATTACCTGAGAGTTTAAGGCATGTGAATTAAACCAGTATCTTGAATGAAGTTATAAGAATGTATTTCTTTAATTTTGAACACATTGATATAAACACTTTTAAATTCCTTCCTTTTCTTGTAATACCCACTAGACTTTGGGGGCGGTATTGGGGATCAAACTCACAACCTCGTGCTTCCAGGAAGACTTTATGCCACTGAGCTAAACCCCCAGCCCCCCACTAGACTTAATGCTCCCTTTTTATAGACCCACCTAGAATCTCCCTCCTCAAAAAAAGTTCATTAATGGAAATTTTTGAACAAAGTCAAGAAGAAAATATATAAAAATGGAAAAAGGTTACAGGTAAGTAAAAGTTTGATTTTTAACAGTTTTAAAATTCTATCTTTGGACTCATTATCAGTAATGTCTATGGGGGCATGATACTGATCAATGTTTATAGACCTACAGGAAAAGATGCCTAAATGTTGAGAAAAAAGTTATGAGAGAAATAAAATATATAGGTCACATTAATGATAATAAATTGATAGTAAACTGTGGTGTCAACTTGAGTAAGAAATGCCTAGTAGGTCAGCACAGCACAGTTACAGATGTGTCTTGGATGATGTACTTCCTCAAGAGGGAGACCCACCAGCCAAAGGCTCATAGAAGGAAAAGGAAAAGCAGGAGAAACGCTTGCTACTTGTGCTTGCCTTTGGAACGTCAGTCTGTAGGCTTCCAGCACAGACTCTTCAGCGTTCCAGAGCCTCTTTTACCTGCCAACACGGGCCCTTCAGTTTCCTGAGGTGCAGGGGACTCTGCAGTGAGCTCCCGGCATCAACTTGTGACTGGATCCTCCAGCTCTCCAGCACCTACACAGCTTTTCTCCTACTCTGACTCTACAGGCAGCCACGGTAAGCCTCCCTTGTGTATCGTTCATAGATCATATGCATATACACACACACACATATATATATATATATATATATACACACACACACATTTTATGTACTTTATATAAATATAAAAATATTAGAGATATTAAATCTGTTCCTCTAGCAAAGCCTAATTGATACAATAAATAATTTTTATACTTTTATTTTTATATTTCTGGAGTAATTTACTGTAGCTCAGATACTGGGGATTAGGAAATAATTAAAAAGGAAAAGTAAGTGGGGCACGGTGTATCCTGGGAGGCCGAGACTGGAGGATAACCAGTTTACGCCCACCCTGGGCAACTCCGCAAGACTCTGTCTCAAAATAAAGCAAAACCCTGAGTTCAATCTAAAGGAAAGGGAACGGAAGGAAAGGGAAAGGAAGGACACAGAGAAGGATACCAGAAAGGAGGGGAAGAGCAGGAAAGTGAGGGGAAGGGATGGGAGGCCAGGAGAGAGGAGAGGAGAAAGGAAGAAAGGAAAAGGGAAATTCAAGACTTCATAAAATTTTCCCATTCTAATACAGTGTACCTAAAAAGCAACAGAAGTCAGGTACAGACAGCCAATAATTCCTACATTAAACATATACAACCTATCAATGTCTCCAAGTGAAATTAGTCCTACTAATGCAGGGAGTTATTCCACAAAAATTACTGTACAGTTTAGCAATTCAGAAAGTAGTCATATAAAATTGTAATTATGGTATTAAATATTATTACACATTAGCCCTAAGAGAACATGAAATAGCTGCCTAACTGCCATATATTCTTTAAGCTTATGATTTTTATAAATTATTCCTTGAGAAATAATTTCCCCTAAATAATCTTTTATTTATTATTCCATAATAACATCTCTCTTGGGAAAAATTATTTTTATTTGTTTATTTATTTGTTGTTTTGATACTGGGCATTGAACTCACAACCTCACATTTATCAGGCAAGCATTTGAACTGCTGAGCTAAATTCTCAGCCCCAAAATTTTTGAAATTAACATAAAATTAAAACCTATTTTTATACCAATAGGATCTATCATTCTAGTGAAATGGAGCTCATTTGGACTTGTGTCTTTCCGGAAGCAGCAGTTACAAAAAACAAAGGGAAAAAGATCTGGTATCATTATCACTTGAATATTGAACCCTATGTTTCTATGTAGGTTTATGTTAAAGAGACTGTCTTTCTTTCTTTCTTTCTTTTTCTTTCTTTTTTTGTCTTTTTAAGATATGCTTTCTAAGAACTGCTATGCAATTCTGGCTGCCTCTGAGCTCACTCTGTAGCCCAGGCTGGTCTCCAACTTGCAACAATCCTCTGCCTCAGATTTCCAATTGCTGAGATTACAGGAATGCACTACCATACCCAACTCAACCAGGACTGTTCTTAAATGATCTTCCCTGTAGTATGCAAGGAAACTTGCTTTCCTCTCAATAACCATCGGTGATTATCAGAACGGAGGACTCAGGAGAATATGGGCCATGGGAAGCGTAACAAACTAAGTTCAGATGCAACTATCATCACCAGCCCTTTGATCTTTCTGTAGCTTTGTATTCATTCAGATGAAGAGAGACTAAAGGAAAAGCACACTCAATGCAAGTAAGGAACAGCTACGATTCATTCAACATGCCAGGCAAGACACTATTTTCTTTCACTTGCCCTTCCGAAGGTACAGGAGACAACTCTGCAACCTGGGTAGGGTCAATGCCTTGCAGGAAGGACCCACAGCAAGAAACTCCTGAAGCCATGATTACAGAACCCCAGAAATTTAAATCTGAAGCGCAAATTGTTCCCATGTCACTATTTCCCTCTAGCAGAATCATTGTTTACTGTCCAAAGACAATTCCCTTGTCTTTTGATTTTAAAAACATTTCACTACAAGAATATTCAAAACAACACAATAAGAGAAAAGCATAACAACTCTTGTGTCCTGCATTCAGCTTCCCAAATGTGCCAACCTGTTTTGCTTGCCTTTTCATGGTCCAGAAATATTTAAAAATATACCCTCGACATTTTAACTGAACTTCAGAATGTCTCTAACAAGTTACAATAAAAACACAACATTATCACATCTACAATTATCATTCTTTATTATCACTGGATGTCTAATTCCTCTTTAAAATTGCTGAGTGAGACAGAGAGTGTGTATGTGTGTGGGAGAGAGGCGGGGAGGTGCTAGCGACCAAATCTGGGGATGTCCACATGCTGGGTGAGCGCTCTATCACTGACCTACACCTTCAGCACCACTGATATCTTAAAAATGTCTTCCTTCTAAAAATTAACTTGAATCAAGTATCAAACAAGAGCCAGGTACGGTGGTACATGCCAGTAATTCCAGCACTTGGGAGGCTGAGGCAGGAGGACTGTCTTGAGTTCAAGGCCAGCTTGGACTGCATTGAGACTTTGTCTTAAAAGAATCCAACAAGACCAACACATTATTCTAGCTGATATGCCTCAATGTTCAATAGCTCCTCCATCTCTCTTTTTTTAAATGATATCTGAATGTTAAAGAAATGAAGCCACTTTTTCTATAGAGTCAGTAAAACATATTTCTTTGTCTCCTTTACAACTTGTAAAGTACTATAGGTGACTAGGCTGGGACTCACCTTTTCTCAATGTTGTTTCAAGAATGTTCAGTGATAGTGCCCCCCCTCTACTGCACTGTCAGCAGGCATTTACCTTTTAGTGGTCTTCTACTAGCAAGAGTAGAAATTGTTTCTACATTCTCTGTAATCTGAATTTCTACGAGTTATCAGATACCTTTTATATTGATGGAACTATGTAGGTTGTGATCAAGCTAACATGTTAATCAAGAACTGATGAGAGACAACTGGTTATCACTCATCAACCAGAGAAACACAGCAGAAATTTTTCCTCTGGTGTGTAAGAGAGGTCAAAGATCTGGCTCTACATGGGGAGACCTGAGAATGAATGCAGTGTATTAAAAAACAGAATCCTACATACCTATGATAGTTCTAAAAGACATTTTACATACCAGCACTAATCAATGTTTCTAAACGAAGAAAATTCTAGAGTTCTTAATTTTTAACATTACTTCACCAAAACTGTCTTGTAAATCTTTCAGATTTTACTTCTTAAGTAACTTAAGAATGGTACTGATCTCTAAACCAAAGGTTCCAAACTTTGGTTGCAAAGTAAATTTTCCTGAAAAACTTTTATCATACTGAGATCTTGGTTTCACTCAATCAATTCTAATTCAGCTGGTCTATGACGGGAACCACATATACAATGTTTTTTTTTTTTTTTTAAGTCTCAGAAGACCTGTAGTATGCAGCTATAATTGAGAACGACTTTTTAAACAAGAGTACAATAATAACTACTATTTACTAAATATATGTGTCTGGTGTAACTCCTAGTACTTTATTTGAATTAGTTTTATTCTCTGTTTCATAAATGAGAAAATGGAAAAGTAAAGTGAACTGCCCAAGATCATACAGTCACTTCATGGCAGACTAAAGCCTTTATCTCAGGCAGTTGGGATCCAAAACCCATCTTCTTACTACACAGTGTCCTAAGCATGAATCGTGCTTGTATTTCCTACTGGAAACAAAATGATCAATGGAAAACACAAAGGATAATTTCTTCCTTCTTTGTAGTACGGTAGCATCTTATGCAAAGGTACCAACATAAACTTACTAGAAGTGTAAATAGACAACCTTCCTTTTACAAGATTCAAATTTGAGGTTTCTACACTTTCAATAATTTCTCACATATTGCCTCACGCAGCAGTCACTCAATATTAAATATGAAACTGCTTTAGTTTTGAAACTTAAAGCAAAAATGTACTAGAAATACACTTCTAAGAAAATGTCCTACCTATTTCTGTTCTGCCAAGTCCAATTCCATTATAAATTCTCAAGTAATTAAAATGACAAGAATCATAATCTTCAATGTCAACATCACCCAATTTGACCCGAATTCGTTCTCCCATCTTGACACGGATCTCCCATTTGCAAAGGGTACTGCTGGGATAGGTCTGCGGGTAGTTTATAGATGCAAGAGTTCCACTTTCAGGGCCTCGTACAGTGTGTCCGCATCCATCACCTTAAAAAAAAAAAAAAAGGTGGGGTGATAAACTGTTCTTTCGTTTTAAACTTCTGAGTAATCAAGATTTTTAATGGTGATTTAAAAATACACATGACCTCAGATATTTATACCACCAGTATATCTTTACAGAAAATAAAATGACATAGCTCTTAGCATATCTAGTCACAATCGCCAAGAAAAATCAAGTCAGGTTCAAATAATGATTACTTATATAATTTATAATGTCAAAGACCTTTACAATCTGAACATATCTTAAAACCCATCTTAGCAAAGAGTTACAAATATATAAATATATCAAAGTGGCCTAATATTTAAAATACCAATTTAAACTATTTAAGATAACTAATATAAAAATGTGAGCAGCTTCACCTTTTTTTAACAATCATAAGCTCCTAAAATCTCCTGTGAACAAGATTATTTCTTAATAACAGTTAACATATGATAAAAATTATGCAAACTATTGATCCTATTATAGACTACAAATGATTCCTCTTGAAAGTAGTTGATTTTGAAGTTTAAGTTTATATTCTATTTAAATTTGACTATTTTGTTGTTCCTTCTCCATTTTCTTCCTATAGAACAGAGAAAATAATTAAAAGTTTAATACTTTTAAAGTTTATAGCTTATTAAACTTTTAAAGTTTAATACTTTTAAAGTTTATAGCTTATTAAATATAAAGAAAAAATTACTTTTATATGTTGGTTCTGACATTTGCTTCATTTATTTTTCAGCAAGTAAATACAAGAACTTAGATAACCAGCTTATTGTTTGTAAAAATGAAACATCTGCATCCCTCATTTTATTCACTCAGTATGCAGGAGGCATTGATTATATGTTCATTTACAAGTTTCGGCTGTTGCTACAACTGTATTATTTAGCATTCATTAACAACATGATTCAAATGAATGACATCCTTTTAATAGGATGATTAATGTATGACGATGGGATTCAAATGAATCCCTTTCTAACAGGATAGCAAATACATACTTTTAAAATAGAAGCATTTTCTTCCTTACAAGTTATTTATGATCATGTCATTGGAATAGTACAGTATTTACACAAAAACTGTATTAAATGTGATGCTGCTGAGTTTTAACCTCATTATGAACACAACTCTAAGAGAATTTTCTTGATTTATTACTTTTAAAAGTAATCACATCACTTATTAGAACAGATTAATTTTAAAAACTATACACATAAAATTTTTAACAAAAATTATACACCTAAAATTATATGCATAAAAATTATACACATAAAAATTTTACATAGTATCTAGTAAGTAGCAGATAGTAAATATTAATAGTATGAATAAGGAAATGTTATGAAAAATTAATTCCAAACTAGTCCCAACTTTAATGAAGAAACAAATCATGTAACTCTTATGGTAATACTTAGAAGTCATATCCTTTACTGACAAAGAATTTTTACCCTTGAGTTTGTATTAATGTTCATCCCTGGTCTTTTTTTTTTTTTTTTTAATCAAGAATCGAACTCAAGACCTTGTGCTTGCCAGGCAAGCACTTATACTGCTAAGCTGTATCTCCAGCCACTCTCCTGGCCTACTTTTAAAGAGCAATACTAAATATATGTGTGCTTGCTAGAAGTGTTATAATCTTTAAAATCCACTGGATAAATGAAATAACTCAAAATATTAGTGTGTTTTCTTTAGTAAACAAAAGCTAAGGCCGCTTTTAGAGTAACTGAAATGTTTATCCATAACTTTGCAACAGCAGATTGTTTAATGCATCCCCCATAGCCAATTAGTCAACCCAAGGACATTTTAAAATGTGCTTTATGAAACAACACAAGTAGAGTGGTTAGAGTAATTTTAGATGCCTTTATGCTTCTGTGTGATCTTGAATAAATACAATGTTTCTTGTCCTTTACACCATAAAGCATAAATTCTATATAAGTTAATAAACTGATAAAAACGGATCTTTTGCATACATGGTGATAAAAAACAATTAAAACAGAGCTGTCTTTCTTTAAGAATCTGTGTGGGGGGTGGAGGGCAGGAAGAGTCCACAAGAAATGTGCCAAGAATGTTCTAAAATACGTGATAGAGTTCAGAGCTTCCTCGTCTTGCAAGCAAGATGATAAGAACTAAAAATCAAAGTTAAAAGTCAAGTATCTTGTCTACTGCTCTGGCCAAGTCTGAATACCCCCTATTTCAAAGAATACAGTATTTATTAAAGTAGCAATATGTTCCCAGGTTATTTTTTTATAGTTATTGTACAAAAATTCATCAAATATGACAAAATATTTAAAACTAAAAGCTGGAAAATATTCGTCAATAATAACACACAGCAGTGTTTCTCAAACAGGAGGTGGAGATCCCACAGGAGGGATTCTACCACTCACTTGGCAGTATCTAGAGACATTCTTAGTTGTCACAAATAGGGGGAGGCATGTTGCTGACACCTCATTGGAAAGGGTAAGAAGATGCTAAAATATCTCAGTGAAGGAATAGTCTCCAGAACAAAGAATAATGGGACCTGCATGTAAATAGTGCTGAGTTTGGGAAGTGCTAACTTAGAGTCAAGGTTAGGAAATCTCAGGCTGAAAATCTGGTTTAGTTCTTGGCTCAGTCTCATTTGGCCTAAAGGGTAATGCTCTTCTACTCACTAAGGATCAATGGAGAGAAAAGTTTTCTCCCAAACATCAGCAGTTATGGAAAAGTTTTGTGCTCACACTTCCCAATTTTAAAATAAGTAAATAGAACACTTCATTATTCTTCAAGTTAAAGAAGAAAAATAATCCTTATTAGTCTTCAAATTTCAAATGATTTTCTTCCAGCATCAAGAGCTTTTTTTTTAAAGAGGGTAAAATTAAACAGAACAAAACATCATAAGAAAACAATTAAGAAACACAGACTTCAAGGCAAGACCACCAGAGATCTTCACTATCATATTGTCTCTTGGTTTCTTCCAAATAGTTGTCCATATCTTCACACACAGTGAATTCATACTGAACAAAACAGTACTAAACTGATCAGAACAGGATGATGAAGGCATTTTAGGTCTTCAAGTCCAGACAATAGGGAGGTCAAAAATGGCTGCCATAATGTCTCTCCTTCTTTTCAAAATAGCTGTCCATATCTTTACATATGTTGAAATTAAACAAAAGAAAACAGACTAACACCATTCTAGACAGACAATAATAGTATTGCCAGATTTTGTATCATGACACCATGGAATTAGCACTGGGTATCTTAGTGTCTCATTTTCTTCAGAGTATCTGTTCATTACAACATACATTATAGAATCTATTCCTGTAAACTGTTTGAAGTTCTACACATGCATGAATCTCTACACATATACCTATTCTTTCCAAACAAGATAGCAACACAAATTCCCAGAAAAACATGAAATGATAAAGACATATAAAACCTCAATACTAGGTGATCTATAGTAGTTACTATGATGTCTCTTGTTATTTTCAATAGAATTGTCTATATCATCAGGCATAATATAATTGAACAGCACTACCTAGCAATGTTAATAAAAACAAAACATTGGAAACATTATAGGACTTCAAAAGCAGTTAATAATCAAACCAGAATGGGTATCCTATTACATCTTCTCATCTTCAGAGTAATTGCTCTGTTCTTAGACTTGATACTATCAAGCATACCAAATTCAAATAAAATCAGTCAAGACAAAACAGCGATCTAACAAACCAGATTCAAATAAGATCAGTCATAGTAAGACATCGTAGAAGTAATGCAGGGCTTCAAGTTAAGTTAACAGGAAATTAACGATAGTTACCGTAGTATATCCTATTGTTTTGGGATAGCTGTCTGTGTCCTCAAGTCTAGTATGAGTAGATAGACTGGAACAGAATAAAATCAAATTAAACAGAGTGATAAGATTAATGTGGCTTTTAAATCCTGATAAACTATTAAAAATGTCCTCTGCCTTCCTTTTTTAGACAATGCATCAAGAGTTTTTAACATAGGGAGAAAAGGGTATCAATAGGATCTGAAAAATTGATTAGTGTTTGGTGCTTGGAAGAATAATCGTCTGTGACAAGGACACACTACCTCCTTTTACTTACCATATTAAGAAGCGACAAAAAATTATTACAAGTGGGAAATAACTTCCAAAATAGATGTCAAAGGTCTAGTTCTTACTCTCCCCAACCATCCCAACATGCCATCTCCTTTCCCAACCACATCTTAACCACCATCCCTGTCAACTAATCTACCTTCTGTTCCTCCATTACATGTATTCCACTCGAGTATAACTAATCATAAACCATAGAAAGCTCTTGGTATAATTTTTGAATTGTACTTTTATTCAGTGTAGAAAAACAGAAAAAAAACACTGAAAGTTGATCTTAGTGCTCTTTGGTTCAGATGCAGATTTACCTAGGGGATTACTCATAGAACACATGTTCACTTCCCTTGAACAGTGTAAGGTTCAGATGTGTTAAGCCACATATGAATTTGGATACTTTTCTGGGAAAAAAATGCAATGATCTTTAAAACTACTTATCCCTAGAGAAAACAGAAAGAACATTAAATACATTCAAGTGCCAATCAAATAATACAACATGAAATGCAAACCTATTGTATTCTAGCTAAATTCCAAATTAAGTATTTTTAGGATAATGTTCTGATGATGATTACATGTGCCCCTCTAGCCACATTCATATTTTAGTAATACTATTACTAAGAAAGATGTATTACAGATTTTTAATCATATGAACTCTGTGAGGGGCAAAAATACTTCCTTTCACAGCAGCCAACACAAATGCAGGAAGCTTATAAAAGTATGTCGAAAAAGAAGAGCAATGTATCATTCATCATAATTGCAGAGAGCCTGAATCTTGTTTTTATCACTGTGGCCTACTGAGGCTGCCAGTATCCTCTAAGTACTATTTCTGGATCTTGTAACACATCTGTGAGATCCTACAATAAAATGAAAAACAAGGTGAAATATTTAGGAATAAAAGTTCAAAAACATGAAGCTGCAACCGTTAACTACTACATGCAATTTCACTGGATACAGTGACGTTTTTGGTATATTACCTACCGCTGTGAATAATAAGGCAGAAGTTCTTTAACTGTGAGGTTTCTTAATTTGTGTTACTGCATATCTCAAACACGTAATCAAACTAGTACTTTAATTTCACTTAATGTCCCCTTTGTCAGTTTTAATTTTCCTTTTTCTGAAGTTAATTTTATCTGAAATTAAAATGCAGTTGTTCTAGTTTACTTCACATTAGCAGTCACATGGCACATCATTCTCTAGCCCTGTTATTTTTTTGTTGTGGTAGTAGTGATAAAATATACAACCCAGAAATTTTATTTTTTAAAATAGATTTTACATTTTTAAAATTTTATTTCAAAGAAGATAAAATTGAACAGAACAAAACAGAACAAAGCAGATCAGAAGAACACAATGTAAGACACACAGATTTTAAAGCAAGACAACAGGAGATCATCAATGTCTATCTTACTGTCTCTTGTTTTCTTCTGAATAGTTGTCCATATCTTCACACACAATGAACTCATACAAAACAAAATAGTATTAAACTGATCAGAACAGGATGATGAAGGCATTTTAGGCCTTCAAAACCAGATAATAGGGAAACCAACAATGGCTGCCATACTGTCTCTCATTCTCTTCAAAATAGCTGTCCATACCGTCATGTATGTTGAAATTGAACAATACAAAACAGACTGAAACCACTCTGAACAAAGAATAATAGTACTGCTGGATTTCACAGCAGGACACTATGGAATCAGCACCTGGTACCTTAGTGTCTCTTTTTCTTCAAAGCAGCTGTTCACTTCATCATGCATTATATAATCGATTCCCATAAACTCTTTAGGAGAAGTAGTATGCATGTATGAGTCTCTACACTTATACCTATTCTTTTCTGTATTAGAGGGGAAAACAAAACAAATTCCTAGAAAAACACAAAACAAAAATTAACAATAGCAAAGAGGCCAAAACACTGATAATCTAAACCTTCAAAACAAGGTAGTAGGAGCATAACTGAGGTTGTTGATTTACATAATGTTACGGGTTCCTCAGATCACCATACAATAACACGCAATACTGTTTCATTCCTAGGAATGTTAACTATTTTGTTCCAATAACTTATACAATTCGCAGCACAATCATCTTAGCTATACTGTGTGTTTATATAATTATATTTTTTTCTTTTTCCTCACTTTCCCTGAGATATTATTTTCCCCCTTTAAGTAGATTCTTATCCTTTCACTGTATTTATTGAGTTTTTTGTATCTTATGTACTTTTCCCATTTTTTGCACTAGGGAGACGATATGGTATATACAGATGTGAGTTTGATTTATTTCACTTATGAGTTTGGTCTCCAGTTGTATTCACTTACTTATAAGTATCTCAATGTGATCATTCTTTATAGCTGAGTAGTACTAGATTGAATAAAAAAACAACACAGTTTTTATCCATTCCTCAGCTGATGGGCATTTAGGTTGTTTCCAAGATCTGGCTATTACAAACTATGCTCCTATAAACATAGATGCACATATAACACTGTGGTATGTTGTTTTCAGTTCTTCTGGGAATATGCCCAGAAGTGGGATAGCTGGGTCAAATGGGATTTCCAATCCCAGCCTTTTGAGGAATCTCCAGACTGACCTCCACAGTGCTTGCACTAGTCTACACTCCCATCAACAGTGCAGAAGAGTTCCTTTTTCCCAGTAGCCTCTCCAGCATTTGTTGTTGGAGTTTTCTTTATCCTGGCCATCCTTCATGGAGTGAGATGGAACCTCAGTGTTGTTTAATTTGCATTTCTCTGATGACCAATGATGCTGAGCATTTTTTCATGTATTTATTTGCCATTTGTTATTTCTTCATCTGAGCACTGTGTGTTCATTTCAGATGCCTATTTTTGGAACAGGTCTTTGAATTTTGAGAACCGGATTTTTTTTTTAAATTATTTGTACATTCTAGACAGAAGTCCTTTGTCTGAGAGACAGTTTACTAAGATTTTTTTCCAATTTGTGGGAGTTTTTTTTTTTCACTACGCTGGAGATTTCTTTCGACATGCAAAAACTCTTTAATAAGGGGCTGGGGATTTGGCTCAGCGGCATAAACACCTTCTTGCAAGCACGTGGTCGTGAAATCGATCCCCAGTACCAATAAAAAAAAAAAGGAAAGACAAAGACAAAATAAAACCTCTTTAATAGGATGTGATCCCAGTTATTGATTCTATGAAGTATTTCATGTGCGGTTTGATTCTTGTGGTTGAGTTTGTTTGTAGTTGTATCTTTTAATCTACTTACTCCATTGATCTTCAGGTCTGTTTTTATTCTAGTACCATGCTGATTTTATTACAGCAGCTTTGTAATAACTTCAACTCAGGGATTATGACTACATGCGCCCAAGCCTCCTACCTTGTCTCTGTTGCTTAGAATTGCCTTTGCTATTCTAGGTCTCTTCTGGTTCCAGATGAATTTTAGGAATGATTCCTCTTGATCTGTGAGGTATGCTAGTGGTATCTTAATTAGGATTGCATTAAATTTGTATAACAATTTTGGGAGAATGGCCATTTTCATAATGTTTATTCTTCCTATCCATGAACAAGGGATGTCTTTCCATTTTCTGAGGTCCTCTTCCATTTCTTTTCTCAGGGTGTTACAATTTTCCCTGAATAGATCTTTTACTTCTTTTGTTAGATTGATTCGTAACTATTTCACATTTGTGGATGCTATTGTGAAGGATATGGCTTCTCTTATTTCTCTCTCAATGATTTCTGTTGTTAGTGTATAGGAATGCTATTGCTTTTTGAGTATTGACTTTGTATCCAGCTGCATTGCTGAATTTATTTATTATACCTAGGAGTCTTTCAATGGGGCTTTGGGGGGGTCCTCTATGTAGAGTATCATGTCATCTACAAATAATGGTAATTTAACTGCGCCTTGTCCTATCCTTTTTCCTTTTCTCTCTCTTGTCCAATTGCTCTGGCTAGTATTTCCAGCACTGTGTTGAACAGGAGTGGTGATAATGAACATTCATGGCTTGTTCTCAATTTTAAGGTAAAGGTTTTCAGCTTTTGGCCACTTAATATGATGTTGGCTGTTGGCTATGTCATAGATGGCTAAATATACATAATGACATGCATTCATCTTATAGTATTATACAGAGGAGTTTCACTGCCCTAAGTATCCCAGGATCTACCTGTATAAACCCCCCACCATGAAGATTTTTTAATTTATTTTTTCTTTTTTTTTTCCATCTACAGTTCTCCTTTGTCCAGAATTTGAGAAAGAACTTGCTACATAGTCAGACTAACCTTGAACTCACTATGCAACTTAGGATGGCCTCAAACTCACAATGATTCTCCTGCCTCTGTTTCCCAAGTGCTGAGATTACATGTGTGTACCATCACACCTGTCTCATTTTTTAAGGGCTTGTTTGCTCCTTTCTTTTACTTATTTTTGCTCAGGGTACAAGCTAGACATGTATTCAGAGTCAAAAAAGTCAATGTAGCAACTTTTAGGCAAGTAAATTTGCTCCTATCTTCCATGTTTTTTAAGCCAAAATTCACCTCTGTACATGCAGTAATTCATAAAATTTAATAACAGGAAGGAAAGCAATATATAAATCCTCAACCCTTACCAAGCACACACACCACCTATCTAGCTCATAATGGTTAAACAAAGTGGAGTCATACAACAAACTGAAATGCCCTATTTGCCACTATGACCCTGAGAAGGCTTTCTATCCCTGCTAAGTCTGGATTTTGCCATCTGTAAAACTGAGACACTAACAATTCAAACTTTAAACAGTAAGAATTAAACAAAATACTATATGAAAACAACTGATAGCAAGAGCCTAAGTCTTATTAATATGATCAACAAATATATACATAGGCACTATTCCCATAATGTTACAACACCACCACTAAAAGGAGACCTGAGAAGCTTGTCAATGTATGCTGATCCAGCTTAATCTGGCTACAACATGACTAAAGCTAAACAACCTCTCTATTTTATAAAATTTATCTCCACTCTAAAGCTAACATCTAATGCCTTATAAATAACAGAAATTTATGACAAAGTAATTGCTACTAGTTACCTCAGCTCCAATTCAGTATCTCATTCTCAGAGCCACAAACTCTGAGACAAAGCTGTAAGATTTACTTTAGCCATTTTAGAAATTATTCTCACTTCTGCATATCACATCTCACTTGGGCCAGGCACTCAGCCATGCAGCTCTTACAGCCACTGTATACTTTCTGGGAACCTGACTTCTCTACTTCTCTATTAAGATCACCTTGGCCTCATTTCTCTTCCTACCCATCCTGGATCTCATGCCCATTCCAACTACCTACATTCTACCTAATATTTCTGCTTCCTAGGTATTGTGTACCACTTGAGCATCTTCCTAGGAAACTCTCCATCTAGATTTAACAATGATCTCTCTCTGCAAAGGAACTGAGTAAACACAAAACAAAAATCACAAGACCCCCAGATAGGTATCATTAGAAAGTAACAGGTTCCGGTCTCAGGTGGGCCACTCAGTGTTCTCTTAGTTAATGGCTCATAAAGTGAAGCCAACATTATTTTTATCAAGGACTAATTCAAGGTTTTCAGGTCTTCATCTCCACTTCCACAGATTGTAGCAAGTACAGGTATGTCAGAAAATGTTTTTAAAACTTGGAAACAGTAACAAAGTTCAAATATCACTCAGGGCAAAAGCCACCCAAAGATTATAGGGCAAATCTATTTGTCCAACTTGCTATTTATCACTGATTAAAGACCCCAATATTGGTTACATGCTAAATCATAGATTACTATCTCATAGAGATTCATACAATTTCTGTAGAGTTGAAAAGCCAACCAAAATTACAGTTTCCACCTTGATGACCATGAATTAGTTCTGGCCACCTAACCTAGTAGTCATATCATAACACCTATAAACACATACTTTTTCTCCCGTGGTCTAGTTTTACCATTTTACTGATTCCTTCTTTAATGAAACAGCTGATATCTGATCTGCCAATTTTATATTTGCTTGACAGTTATAACTGTTCTTTTTTGGCAAATTATACCCTGTAATGGAGGCATTTAGTAGATCATTCAATTTGTACTTTAATAAACTTTAACAATAACAGCAGCAATTAAAAAATCACATGTGGCTGGGGATATAGCTCAGCAGTGTGTTCAAGAATGCACAAGGTTCTGGGTTCAAGCCCCAGTACTGAAGCACACACACACCCCTTATTCTTGTATCTGGTAGCCTCTGTCATCTGCCATCTCTCTCACTTTGCTTTACTTTTACAAAGACTATTCCAGTTGCCTACACTTTGTTTTACTTCTTTGCCTCTCATTCTAACTTCAGTGTACTACAGTTTAGCTCAGGACTACCGTGAGTTCAGTGGTGACTTCCAAACAGATAATGTTCGAATCCTATCATCTGGAACCTATGGATATCATCTTACACTTGGAAATATGCTATTTGCTGATCATAATAGGTTAAAATGATATATTGGCTAGGTTAGTCCATAATCAAATGATTGATATTTTGGCAACAGGAGACAAATATGGACACAGATATTGGAAAAACTCACGTAAGCACAGAAGCAAAGATTAGATTGATAAATCCACAGGAAAGGTAAGGAATGCATGCACCAGGAGCTAGGAAGAGGCAAGTAAAGATCCTCCCCTAACCTTCAGAGAAAGAGCAAACCCAGCTGACATTTCAACATCAGAATTCTAGCCTCCCTGTGAAACGAGAAACTTTTGTTTTAATAACT